CCTCAGTTTTCTCTTGATTTCCTTCTGATTGTAAACCCTAAAAATGTCGGAGCCAAGCTGTATTGGGCACGATGAAGACCTAGCAGACAGAATCAAGAGTTTCTCGCTTTCTGACAAAGAAAGCCTGATAACAGGGATTGAGCATGAGGATATTAAGCTGTGCGCTGATGAATGTGGTAGAAGCCTCTTTGGGAAAATCATTGGGGACCGAAAGGCAAGCTGGCTGGGAATCAAAAGAGCTATGAGCCACATATGGAGACTGCAACAGCAAATGGAAGTAAAAGAATTAGGTCACAATTTTTTCCAGTTTGTTTTTCAAAGCAAAGACGATATGAGAAGGGTTGGTGATGGCATTAGCTGGAGTTTTGAGAACCAGCACCTAATCCTCAGAGAGTGGGAAAAAGGGCTCACAAGCAAACATCCGGCCTTCCATGACATTAAAATGTGGGTCCAGGTATGGAATCTACCTATCAATTGCTTGAGCACAGAAGTTGGGCTTAAAATTGGGTCGATTTTCAATTCTGTCCAGAATGTGGTCATTGCAAGTTCAGGCAATCATGGTGGAAGAATCTTAAGGTTGTTGGTATCCTTAGACATAAATGAACCTCTCCCAAGGTGCACTAACATCCAATTGGAAGGTCAAATTATAAGTGTGGGTTTCAGATACGAAAAGCTGCACAACTTGTGTTATTACTGTGGGCTATTGGGGCATCTGGACAAAAACTGTAAGAAGAGAATTGAAGCTATCAAATCCAAATCAGTCAGTGAAGGAGAATACGGGGATTGGCTCAAGGCTGTAGAAGGCCAAAACTGGATTGATGTGGGTCTTTCTAATTCAAGAGCTTATCCTTCATCAAGCAAATCCCAAGAACCCACCTCCCCCACCAGAACTTCTTTAAGTCTGATTGACAAAGGAAAGCAAATTGTTAATGTGCAAGTTCAACCCTCCAATACCTCTCAACCTGATATGGAGGCATCTAACTTTGTTCAAGAGGAAGCCTCTCCTTATATTCCTTCTCCTGCTGACAATGTTCCTCCTCCCAAATCTCAATCTCCAGTTGAGAAGACTTCTTCTTTGATAGAGGAAGCCTCTCTGCTCAAAATGATGGACATGGATAAGGCCTTTTCAGCTCCCTCTCTTCCTATCCAAATAAAAACTAATATCCTCAATACCCCTCACACCTCAAAACTCTCTCCCAGCAACAAACAGAAAACATGGAAAAGGGCTTTGAGCAGAGAAGGGAGGTTGCAAAGAAATGAAGATGGCCTAGAACTGATGATTCAAGACAGCCAGAGTAACAAGAGGACCAGGGATGATCACCCTAACCTCTCCATCCCAAACAAGGAGCAAGCACTGATAGTCTCATCATCTAACAAGAAATCCAAAGGTTTCCAAGGACAGGTGGAGGATGCCAGCCTAGAGTGGCACCCCAATTCTCAATGCTAGCTGCGGTGTGGAATTGTAGAGGGCTGGGTGGGCCCTCTACAATTTCCCAAATCCGAGAGTCCATCAAGGCTCACCACCCCTCCTTTTTCTTTATTTCAGAAACAAAAAAAACAAATGGCTTTGTTAAATCAGTTGCTAGAAAGTTGGGATTTGTAGATAGGTTTTCTTTTGTTGATCCTGCTGGGCTAAGTGGAGGTTTACTCCTTCTCTGGGACTCTAATGTTAATATTATCAATATTATGCAAAAACCCTTTTATATTGCTGTTGAATTTGTTATTGGCTCTGCCCCCCCTCAATGGGGAATTTTTGTATACATGAGCTCCTGCAAGCAGATTAGAGCTAATCAATGGGAGGAAATGGAAAGGGATAAGTCTTGCTGGGGTTCTAAATGGTTTGCCTTGGGAGACTGGAATGACATCTGTGTCCATGAGGACAAATCTGGAGGTATCAAAAGGAGTAGCAGGAGTCTTCTGGCATTTAACTCCTTTATCAACAACATGGAAATGGAAGAGCTGCCTATGCTGGGATACAGATTTACCTGGTGTAACCTCAGAGAAGCAGAAGGCCTGGTGGAGGAGAAACTGGACAGAGCCTTTGCCTCTAATGAATGGAGACTGGATTTTCCCAATGCCACTGTATCTACTAAAGTGAGAAGTGCATCAGATCACTCAATGCTTCTCCTCTGCAAGGGATTAGATCAATCAAAGCATCCATCAAGATTCCACTTTGACAAGAGATGGCTTTCCAAAGAGGGCATTTCAGACATTGTCTCCACAGCTTGGAATCAACCCACAAATGGGACCCCCTTTTATAGGCTTAAAGAAAAAGTGAAGAACACCAGGGTAGCCCTTCTCATTTGGAGTTCAAAATTCAAATCTCTTAACCAGCAGACCATTGAAGTGCTCACAAGGAGGTTAGAAACAATGAGGGAAGACAAACCTGAGGATTACTGGGAGCTATGGAACAATACAAGAAATGAACTCAATGCAGCACACAAGCAGGAGGAACTTCATTGGCATCAGAGATCTAAACTTAAATGGCTCAAGGAAGGTGAT